CTTACACTAGTGATCTACATCTCTTTTAATCTCTCAGTGTAAAAGTAACTTCGTATCGATACCTGTGATACAAACAAACTGAGTGGGTCAGGCTTGGGAGCCTGGTGAGCATATAGGGTTTTCAACCCACAATAAATAATTTATTATGCTTAAACATCAAACAATCAACCCAATTACCCAATCCCCATTATCTTATTTATTTCTTAAGGATTTACCCTAAGAATCAAATCTCACTCATTCCTAAGGATTCATCCTAAGGAATAGGCACGAAGTCCATCGCTGCCCAAGGTTTATACTACAAGCACTAACAAACGTCGATCAAGAATCGACTATCCTTCATCCAATCATTCCTCAGGATTGACCTAAGGAATTTATCCAAAGTCCATTGCTACTAAGGTTCATACAACAGGCACTACGTCACATAGTCGCCAGGGTTTATACAATAGGCACTACGTCTTATAGTCGCCAAGGTTTATACAATAGGCACTACGTCTCATAGTCACCAAGGTTTATACAATAGGCACTACGTCTCATAGCTGCCAACGTACTAAATACATAGCTACCAACATACATCTATACTGTACTAAATTCATAGCTACCAACGTACATCTATACTGTACTTTTATCCCTCATACTTTATCTACCCATGTTTTACCCAACATATTTGAAGATAAAATATATATACATTTTAAATCATTTTAAACATGTATAAAACATTCATTCAACATCCATCTCAAATAAACAAACAACATATATACACATATCACGTATTTTATATAAAATACTTCATATCTATGTGTAAGATGAAAGTGACTATACACTCACTTGATTTGATGAAAATCGGGCAACAATTCGTTTCCTAAAACGATCGTTCTAATAAAACCGGGAGTTTTATTCAGAAATCGGGCTCTGCGAGGGTCGGGCTTCGAAACCGAAAAGATAAATTTTCCGGGCTTCTCGGGCTCTTCGTGGCGTATTCCGGGGGTTATAATCGATACCGGGGCTTTGAGGGATGTTAATATGAAGAAAATATGGAAAAGGGGGCTAAAAGTGGCAAAATTCCAAAAGTAACCGAGAAGGCTCGCAAGCCCTCTATTTATAGGAGGTCCGAAGCTGCTGATCCAATGGCTGAGAAGTCTCCACGCGTCAGCTGATCTGAAGGCTCGCAGGTGGCTCGCACGTGGCTGCGCATGCGAGGGCCTCGGTGTCACCTCCTGATTGGACTGAGGTCTAGTCCGAGGTAGGGTGGGTTCGTGGCATCATGCGAAGGCTCGGACACGAGGAAGAGGACACGCGTCGGATTCTCACTTGACCGCTTCGGATGACTCAGCAACTCGGATGACTCAGCAGAATTTTGGATACGCGTCGGATGCGAAGCGAGGACACGTGGCCGAAGTCCACGTATGGGAGATTTCTCAGTTTTGGGGATTTTTCTCGGTTTTCGCGTCAAAACTTCTAAAATCCATAACTTTCGCATACGAGCTCCGTTTTTTACGATATTTATATGCACGCGTAGGTAAAATTACGCTCTACAACTTTCGTTTAGACTTCATCGACTAATTTTGACTTTAATTTTTATATTATTATTTTTAACAGACCGGGACAGGAAATCCATTAAAAATTCATAACTTCTTCATCCGACGTCCGTTTTCGTCTGTCTTTTTACCGTTGTGCTACTATTGACGAGACCTTCGATTCTCATTTAGGTCGTGTCGGCTAAAAATCACTCGATCTAAAATTTGAGTTTTTAGTTGTCTACTGCTAAGCTGAAACTTCGAAAAATCATAACTTCCTCATACGAAGTCAGATTTGGGCGTTCTTTTTATACATACTCTCGGTTTAACGAACACTACGACTTTCGTTTAGATCACTAAGGCTAAAAAGTAGTTTATCAAAAACTCACTTTTTACGACATTCGGCACCGTGTCGGTTTTGTCGCGAAACTTCGACAGGTCATAACTTCTTCGTTATAACTCGGATTTCGACGTTCTTTATATGTACGGAATCCTTATAACATATACTACAACTTAGTTAAGATTAATCCTTCTAAATAATCTTCCATCAAAAAGTCATTTTTGATGCTTATCGTCTCTTAATTGACTAGCCCTGATCTACGGGCGTTACAATATCTTTTATGTCCGACTACACACCCCCACCCCTAGTTCAAGTTTGATATGGAAAAAAATATATTGAAAAAATCTCTCGTCCGAAACCTCTATTTGTCTAGAAATATCTAGATGATCACCACCATAAACAAAGGCAATAGAAGTAGTTGCATGATTTGGGATATCTTAAGGACCAATACTTAGCAGGAAGCACGCCGATGAACCATGTTTGTTTAGACAATGAACGGTAACATCATACGTGTTTGCAATGAGAAAAGTAATTGTCGACATAATAAGTCAATATCCAATTACCGTAAAGTTGATCCAACGTAATTCAATGAGTGACTTGTGTTGTTGAAATAATTTTCATGAATGAACGAGTATTCTTCGATGTGCGGTACTAACTCGTATTATAAATTTGATTGAATTTTACACTAATCGTTTTCACAATGAACGAGGTAAATAACTATTTCCCGAAATACACAATTTAGTAACTATGAAATGATATAATTAATCTCATACACCACAACATACAACATTTGAAAACGACAAAGACAACCCATATAAATTTTTTTTTGACCAAAATGCAGACAGATATTTAAACCATAAGGATCAAAACTATAATATACTATTTAATAATAATAATAATAATAATAATAATAATAATAATAATGTAATCATAACTATTATTATTATTATCATAGAAAAGACAAAAAAAATCAAAAAAAAAATCAAAAGGGGTTAATAAATAAAAAAAAGATTTAATAAGTGAAATATACAAATAAAATGATTTGATGAAACCCTAATTAAATTAATTAGTTTGACAGAGGTGCAACTAAGTAAGGATAAATAATTATCAGTTTTGTATATATTTTTTTTAATTGTTTGTAAAATAAATATTTTTAAGCGGTTATCAATCTTACAAATAATTTTTTAATTCATTTTTTGAATTATTTGTTTATGAAATACCATCATTATTATAATAATAATAATAATAATAATAATAATAATAGAAATAATAATAATAATATATACACGGCCAATTATATATTGTTTTATCTAAAATAAAAAAAAAATAAAGAGAAACTGAAGTTGTTGATTTTAGATAAGACCAATTATATGTTGCTTTATTAAAAATAAAAAGTAAAGAAAAATTAAAGTTGTTTATTTTAAATAAATACGATAATTTAACCAATAAAACTTCTAATATAATATATAAAGAAACGTTTTAGAATTTATATTAAACTATTATGTTTTTTTACTTTTTACATTATTTCATGTTTTCTTATGATCTAAATAACATTATATTTTTTTGTTGATATTTTATTCTAATTTTTGTATACATAATAATTAAAATGCAGTTATGGTCCCTTGGTTTGTATAAATCATTAGTTTTTGTGTTAGTATCGAGATTTAATTATGGGATCCTTATTTGAGTGCTTGGTCCCTAGAAATAACCATGTTTGCTTCCACCCTTGAATGTATATGAAAATACCAATACATCCTTTTCTAACTTCCTGCTTTATTTGACATCGTTGATAAACATAGGGGCCATTTCTGTCAATTTTAATACAAATACCCTAAAAATAAAGCAAATCGTGTTCCGATGCGCTTCAACAACCGATTGATGGATAGGTATGGAAATTGCACCGGACCCCATGGGGAATCCGGTTGACCTGTCTCGATTGGGGACGGGTATTCCCTGCAAAATTGGTACCGGGTATGGGGTTGGGGATCCCCGTTATGCTAAAACTGGGGATGGGGTTGGGGTCGGGTAAACCAATCTCCAACCCGCCCCGCCCCCACATTGATGACACTATATATATATATATATATATATATATATATATATATATATATATATATATATATATGTTCAGGTTCATTTGAGACGATGCTAATTTTGTGAAACCGTGAGACCAAATCTAAAAATAATTTTAAAATGCAAAATAAAAGGAAAAATCCAAAAATTCTTTTTTTAATTATTATTTTCGGAACTTTAATTACCTAAAAAAAATGAAAAAAAATTACCGTTTTTTATTTTGACAAATACGTGAAATATTCTAATAGAATATTATATTGTAAATATTTTAATGTGATTTTTAGAATGTTAGAATATTCTATTAGATTTGTCAGATATGTAGAATATTCTAATATTCTACTAGAATATGTAAAAAAATGTATTTTATTTATTTATTTTTTATTTTTGGTATTTTTTTATTTTTTTTTTGGAAAATATAAATTCCAAAAATAATATTTGAAAAAAAAAAATCGAAAATTTTCAATTATTTTGCATTTTAAAAATGTTTTTTTTTATCTACTAAATAAGTGGCTAGGATTGCATCTCACGGTCTCACAAAATTAGGTCGTCTCACATGAACCTAACCCTATATATATATATATATATATATATATATATATATATATATATATATATATATATATATATGAAATAAGTCCACTAAGAATAAATTTATTTGTATTGGACCGAGAGTTCGCATACCAAATTATGTTCCTAATTCTAAGAGTTCTTAAATCCTCACTTTGTTCGACGGTTCGTATCTCAAATCGTCACTTCTTGTTTTGATGCGTGTTAGACTTTATTATTTATGTAACATAATATGATTATGGGCTTTGTTTTTTATCACTTCAATAAACTTGATTTTTTTGCATAAGTTTAGTTTAGTTTTTTTTTTTTTGATAGACCAGGGATGGGCTGGGGACGGGTCGGTGATGGCACGGGGAAAAGCCCAAAATTTAAAGGGGATAGGATTTGATTCCCTGCATCCGTCAGGGATGGGGATGAGGTTAGGTACTCGGGGATAAGGACAGGGATGGTCAACCCCGCCCCATACCCGCCCGATTTCCATCCTTATTGATAGAGGTGGCACCCTCCTAGCCTCTCCATCGTCGGCCTCCGGTGGTCAAAAAAGTATTGTCGAAGCCGGAAACCGACGGATCTAGCTTCAACTCGCACTCGGCTTCTTCAACTAGACCTCTCAACAACCAGGATTCATCCACACTTCCATTTACTATCAATCCATTCTCAAGTCTCTCTCCATCTCCTACCAATCCACCATTGTTGATACGCTAATGAAGTAATTCAAAACTTATAAAATTCAACTCAATCCTTCCATCTACGGTTCGAATATCGCATAACATATCTCGGTCAAAAGGGATCTCAACTCGTTCTTGGTATTTAACGATGTTAGATTCTTGATTCCTGATATTAGTCCTGAAGCCTGTAATTTGCTAGTTGCAACTCTTTCTTCTACTAGGAATTTGGGTTACGCCTACCAAATGTTCGACGAAATGACCACAAGAGGTATTTGTTTATCTACACTGGAGATCTATAACGTTTTTATGAATGTTTAGCTAAACAGTTGAATTAGATAAACCGTTGAGCTTCCTTGATGATGTGAAAAACCAAAACCAAGATGTAAACGATTCAATTCTTGCATTTTTTTTATTCTTCAAGGGATGTGTTTAGAGAGTGGGGATTGTGGTATTAGTGGTGATCGATGATGATGATGATTTTTGGAGATTGTGGTGATTGGTGAGCATTTTGACCTCTAGACCGGGCCATATCAGAACTGGATCGGCTTCAGTCCGGTCCAAGGTCTATCAATTTCTGCAAAACAGTCTGGTCCAGTTCAGTCAAAATACTTATGCCTACAACCATAATATATAAACCAACTTTCAGTAGGCTTCAGCGAGTTGTACCATATGCACCTAAAGTTGTATCGGTCCAACAGATACAAGAACCGGAAAACCCAGACATGGACTGAACTGGACCTTAACCGTCCTCGGTCGGTCCAAAATCCACCAATTTCTGCCAAATCGGTCCGGTCCAAGAATCGGTCTGGTATTGTTCGGTTCAAATACTCACCCCTACTTCCTGTGATGAAATCACAATACCAGGACCAAACTAATGATTTGTGCAAACCATGAGGACTAAAATTGTATTTTACTCAAAAGTTTATTTTAAAAAATAAATAACTATTTCATAATAAATATCAGAAAGTGGTCATTTCATATACGATACCACCCATTTTATTCATTTTAATGAGTTACCTACATACAATAAGAGTGGTTTAACACAAATTTAAAAGAATGTAACGATTTGTATGTTTAGTACAAACATATTTTATTTTTTGTCTAATCAAATTCCCGTCCGTTTTGCTAAAGCAAAGTGCCATTCAGGTTTATCACTAAATTATAATGCAAAATGCAACTAAAATGCTAAATAGTACTAATAGGAAAAAGAAATAAAAGTGCATTATTATTTTACTAAAATGCCCAAAACGGAACTTCATTTAACTATTTTTTATTTAATAAATAAATAAATTTAAAAAAAAAAAAAAAAAAAAAAAAAAGCATCGCTATACTTCCACTTTTTTTGTTTCAAATAAATACATAAATAAAATGATTTATCATCCACTTACTTATTTATATATACTCTCACTATCATATCCTTGTTATCCAATTCTAATCAAATTAACTTACATTAACGTACTATCAGTGTGGGACAAAATGACAATCGAAAGAATGTTTAACATACAAAGTGTTAATGTTACAAACTTATAACCCTCATTGATGTTTTATGCTTAGTAATTTAACTTAAATTGGTAACTATTATGAGAGTATAAGTATATAGTTGTATACCTTTTTACCCAAATATATAATTGGGAGAAAATGCATGAAAGTATAATGATGTTTTATTTATTTTGTAATGAAGGAATGAGTAAAACATACCATATTTTCCAGGGTTTTGGATCATATCAAGTGGAAGATAGTAAGCATCAACGTAAACCATCTTTGCAAAAGGGAGACGTTGGCTTAAAGAATTAATCTCCATTGATAGCTTGGTGTTGAATAATTCTGCCAACTCATTGTAGTTCTTAACACATTCTCTTTGTATTCCTCCTACTAATGTTCTTTGTGAAGGTAGACATCCTATTGGTGGTAAACTGAAAACTCCGATTCTTCGAACACCTAAATTGTATAAATCCTGTTGATTTTTCAACCGTGAAGTTAGTGTCCTTTAATGTAATAGGTATACGGTGTTTGTTTGAATGAATCGATTCGATCTTATCCATATACGTGAATTGAAATTGATTTCAGTTTTCAAAACTTGGATCCGAATAGTACAAAGTGCAAACTAAATTAAGATTTGATATGAACCAATCAAACATAATTAGGTTGGATTGAATTTTACAATTCGGTTTTCAAGAGTAAAAATATTTTTAAAAAACCATATAACTTTAACATTAATAAGTTTGATTAATCAAATTTAAAATCCACAAAGTATTTATTATATGCCATTTTAGTGAATTAAAAAAAACAAATGACTTGTTAATCAACATTTATATTAATTAAGACTTTTTTATATGGTACATGCTTTCTAATTAAATTTAAAAACAATTCTAATAAGTTAACAAATCATTAAATATATATTACAAGTAAAAAAAATATAAATATATAAATAAATAATTGTTATTCAGTGTTGGACTATTTGGTTTTTGTATCATTAACCAAACCTAATCAGAAATCCAAAATAATAATTCAAATTTTGTCGAAATAACCAAATATCCAAATAAAATAGTTCATTGTACAATTAAAAAATATCGATTTTATCTAAATATTCGACAGCAAGTCAGCAACAGGCCCAAGTAAGAAAGAACTATGATATTGAGTCCATTTTAAACATATTATTTTGTATAAAAAAACCAACCCGGCCCGATTGATCCATCTAGAATTTATCCATTTTGTTTGGCTAATTTATGTACTTAATCATGTCATGTTATATATCACAGTAATTAAACCATATATAGTAGTTACCTGTAAGAATGAGGAAGCAGAATCCACCAGAAGACGAGAGTAGGATTCAAAGTCAAAGTGGTATCTTCGTAGAGGGTTATTAAAATACGTATTGGTGACGTCATTACTCCCTGTTGCCACAACGAACAATCCTTTGCTTAATATATCATTTACTGCTTCCTCACCTGCCATCGACTTCACCTTCTCCAAGTATTCTTTGAACAACTCTATTTGTCCCGGAAGTGATATCACCGACTGTACGTACACATGCATTCATGGGCAAATAAGTAAATTCACACAATCATAAATTCACACATATCTAATCTAATATATTTAATATTTAATATATGAAGTTAAGAACGATATTAAATATTAAATATTTACAGCAAGCTGAGACGTAAGAGGATCATATCCACCACCTCCCGATGCAAAGTTTACTCCGGTTCTTAGATCTTCGATCGGTAGGCTTGGGCCAAGATAAGGTGGTAATACTTCTTTGATTCCTAGTTCTTCAACTGTAAATTATGGTAATTGTATCAATAAACAATAAATAATAGAATTCAGAACATGCTAAATATTGTCATCATTTACTCAATATGCATATCTTAATTCTCTTCCAAAAAATGCCCTCATCAACGACATTACTTTAAGTATAATTTGCACATACATATATAGTTTTTAAGCGACTACTATTTAGAGGTTAGTAATTAGATCATATAAAATTAATAAAAAGAAAGAGATTAATTATATACAGGCATATGTATTATGTATATGTATGTATGTATATACCAATGAAATCAGGAGGAACTTTGCCATTAGAAAACCTGCCGGTGGGTTGACCTCCATAAAAGTCTTTTCCATAAGGAGGGTAATTCACCTTGAAAACTGTCGCCAAGTTATTGTTGTTTCCTGTATCTACTACTGAATCTCCAAACACTATCACTGCTGGCACTACATGAGTACCCTCCTTCAAACGACAACGTTTTCCTAAATCACATGGTGACTGATTTGAATCATTGCTTATGCCACTACACTGCAACTGCAGCAAAAGCAGAAGTGGAAGAAGAAGAAGAAAAGAAAGTTGTCTATGGAGGAGGAGGAAGACTTGCATTGCTATTTTCGGTAAGTGCTTAAGAAATGCTCTTTTCAAACTTATATTTAAGAGCATTAAATACGCACATATCCAACTATATATCCCTGTCATATGTTTGTGTTTTTTTTTTATTATTATTTCTTCTTATGATCACAATCATTTTTTTCATTTTAAGTAAAATAATAACATTATTTCTTGTTCTGGATTTCAATTTTCAACGTAGATAACTACAAAATTCATCATGAACAGAAAGAAATGAATTTTCTATAGTTTTAACTCTAAAAAGTTAATGTTTTTGTTCTAAATCTCTTGAAATATATATATTTAATAAACTTGTGTATTTTCTGAAATACATTACACTAAAGACGATATAATATAATCTAAAGAAAGTAAATCAATATCATTCAGTTTATAAAAGTTATTTTAAAAGGTTTCATGGAATACAAGTTACAAGTTACTACACGATAAATAAATGAAACAAGCTCAGTTACATTTGATATATAAGTAGTATTTAATCAAGTCTATAATTAAATCAAGAATAGAATTATGAGTTTAATATATAACTTTACTAAAATACTATATGTATATTTTTTTAATCTATCCATATACTACATCTGCAAAGTATTAAAGTCTTTACGTCTTACTGTTATATCATGCAACATGGATGTGGTTGCAGGTTATTCATTGTGAATTTATGAGGCTTTTGCATTTTTCCATGCTTTCTAGATATACTTTAATTTGGGACACAAAATCCACATTATAATTTTATTTTAGACGATATTTGATAATACTGTTTACATTTAGATATTGGTGTTAGTTTTATTTTTATTTAATTTGGACATAACTTAATCATGAAATTGTATATGAAGTTGCAACTTAATCCAACTCATGCGATACAAACCAATGCACTAGTACAGAACGTATTTAATAGTGCGATGGTTTTTTTTTTGGTGCGGTGAGAGCCTAAAACCGCACCATTAAAACATTTTCGTATTAATAAACTAAGAAACCGCACCAGTTAAAGCATTTGTTGGAGCGGTTTTCTTATATCCGCATTAAAAGACATCAAAAACACATTATTTGATGCGTTAGTTCCAAACCGCACTATTAAACACATTTATATAAATAAAAACCGCCTCAAAAAATGATATGGTAACCGCATCATTTGTTTATTCTTTCCCTCTAAAATTTCATTCTAATTTTTCATTTCCCCCAAACTTTTGATTTTCTAACAAGCCAAAATTTTCATTTTCCCTCCTGAGTCTTCGATCTAATAAACGCATCATTAAAGAATGGGGATCGCATCATAAAAGTTGTACCTTTACTGTGTGAGTGTTTTTCCCCCTTTGCAAACAAAACAAAACACATAAATTCTGTTCTTCTTCCTTATGTTCTTTTTTTTCTACTTCACGTTCGGTGGTGTCAAGTTGCTTAAGATGGAACAAGGGTGGCGGATCAGAAATCTGTAGGCGATGGTGGTGCTTGGATGGTTCTCGGCAAAGGCAGGGGTTGTGGTGGTGTTTTCGGTGGTTAGTGATGGAGATGACAAGTACGTAGATAAACCAATTTCTTTTCTTCTTCCTTTTCTTTTTCTGATTGACTTTTGGTGGCGTCGGGCTGTGTAAGGTGGAATAATGGTGGTGAATCAGAAGTATGTAGGAGATGATGACGCATGGATGGTTCTCGGCAAAAGGTAGGTGCTCTATGGTAGGTGTTCTCGGTGGTTAGTGGTATAGATGGCAGGTGGTCGGAGGTGGCGAGATGGTGAACCGAAGGTGAAGCAGATCGACTCGATTTAAAGATGCTCTACGGTGGCTAATGGTGGAAAAAATGGTGCCTTGGTGATTGATGTGTTCTCGACAACAAACAGGTATCTGAAATGATTGTGGTTTCGGTGGGTGTTTGATATGGTCTAGATGGCATCTGGCCTGATAGCTTCAAGGAGGATGGATTTGCCCTCCCACCATACAAATGGACCTGCAACGAGCACCGTTGATCGGAAGTTTATGCACCAGAACAAAATCTATTTTTTGGTGCGAATGTGGGAGGTTTTATTTTGGTATTGCATCTTTATTTGGAGCGGTTTTTATTGTTTTTTGGTGCGATTGGTATTATCCCAATATTGTTTTTTGGAGCGGTTTTGGTTATTTTTTGGAGCGGTTTTGTAACCGCATCATCAAATAAGGGTATTTTCTAATGCGATATTTTTTGGTGCGGTTCAATAACCGCACTAATAAATCATTTTAACCGCATCAACAAATGCTTTCTGTACTAGTGATGGCACGGTAAGGCATGTCGTCGTGAGAGGGATTGTCGTTGGAAAATTTCGTCGCTACGGTGGAAACTCTACCTACGATAATTCGTCCCTAAATCTATTCATATTTGCAAAATATATATATATATATATATATATATATATATATATATATATATATATAAATGCATGCAGTGGCGAATGTAGAACCAAAAACCACGTGGTTCCTTATGTATATAAAACTAAAAAAAATATGAAAGTGTAAAAATACTAGTGGTGGTGGGTCGGGTTATCTGACTAAAATATTTAAACATCCGTTCAATAGTTATAATAAAGTTCTTACAATTGAACCCTACGAGGTCTTATATCTTGAAACATATTCATAATTGCGTCATTACCGATACCTTTTAAAACATTTTTTTCAATATACGACACTAAACTATCACTCAAAAATTGATCACTCATTTTGTTGCGTATATCGGTCTTTATCAACTTCATTGTTGAAAATGCGCGTTCCACACTTGCTGTTGCTACGGGTAAGATCAATGCAAGTTTCACAAGAAGGTAAATCTTAGGAAATATTATATGCTTCTTTTCTTCGGCCATCTTTTTGGCAAGGTCTCCAATGCTCTTCAAATCAGTAAATCGTTTATCTACTCGCACATCTTTAATGCAATTTCCAAGTTCCACTTCAAGAACTCGAAGATCATATTCTGTTCGGAACTCTTCCGGATAAAGTGTAGCCATTTTCATTATTTTTTCTAGAGTAAATTACACAAATGGTCCCTATGGTTTAGAGTAATTTGCGTATTTAGTCCCTAACTTATTTTTTTAACTCGGAAGGTCCCTTATGTTTGTTTTTGTTACACGTCTGGTCCCTGTCTTACCTAAAAAGACTGTTTTTCCCTTGATTTTTTTAATTTATTTAAATAAACACACCCCCAACCCCACCCCCTCACCTTACCTTACCTATCCCACTATTTTTCCCAATTTAAATGATAGTCTTTTTAGGTAAGATAGGGACCAAGTGCGTAACAAAAACAAACAGTAGGGACCAAGCACGTAACAAAAACAAAAGTAGGGACTTTCCGAGTTAAAAAAAATAAGTTAGGAATCAAGTGCGCAAATTACCCCAAACCATAGGGACCATTCGTGTAATTTACTCTTTTTTCTAAATCAAAGGCTTTGAAAGGTTCTGTAACACCTGTTTCGAGTATTGATTGGAAATTGATTTTGTGGGGTGTTTGTGCATGGAATCGGCGAGTTGGGAGTCCAACTCGTCGAGTTGGGTCGTGATATCATAGACGGGGTTTTCCCTATATATAAATGTCATTACCCGCCCTAGTAGCCTCCTTTGGCACCATATTATCCCAAAGAAGGTCGTGTGCGGCCATGAACTCCCTTGAGTGAGAGTTAGAGCTTGGTTTAGCAAGATTGGGGGTTGAAGAAGAGATCTAGAAGAAGGAACAAGAGGGGAAGCAGTAGATCCGGCATCTACACTGCATTGGGCATCATTTTAAGGTAAAAAGTCGTTACCTTGATCTATAGATTCTTAGATCTCTCATCTTTCTAGTTCATGTCGATTTTTGGGCAAATGAGGTCCAATTTTAAATTTGGACGTATCATTGGGATATAGTTTCAGATCTGGACCTTTTTAGGTCCCCAAAGTCATAGAGTTGCTCCCTTGGTGTAGTTTGACCCTTCCCATGCACACAAACCTTGTTGAGAGCATAGTATTGACCTTCTAGCGTTATGAGTCCTTGCATGAACGTAAAGTTTGCAACCTTACGTGGCATATGTGATAGAGAATGTTGGATATGAAGTTTGGGACTCTAGATTCCACTGTGAAGGACCGAAAACGAAATGGATTAAAGGAACTCGTCGAGTTGCCTAGTAACTCGGCGAGTCGGGTTTACGGCTAAGGGTTTGCGGCCGAGGGTGTACGGCCAAGGGTTCACGGTCAAGAGTGTACGGTTGAGAGTTTACAGCTGTAAACATCAAGGAACTCGACAAGTCTCTCGGGTGACTCGGCGAGTTGACGAGTTAAGCGAAGAACCCGACGAGTGGCTAATTGCACTCGACGAGTCAAGGTCAATATGGACTGTTGACCTTGACTACAGACATAGACTTTGACCAGAGTTGACCTGAGGGTAATTATGGGATTGTGTTAAGCTAATCACCTGATGATTATGAGCAGTTGAGAAGGAGTAGCGTGTGGGATATGTTTGATTTCAGCTTATCATTTTAGCAGTCGAGAGGTGAGTCTTCTCACCATACCAATGGGTCTAAGGCACTAAAGTCGGCCCATTTTATGATAGTCGGTATACTTGTTATGTAGAGATGTGTGATATGTATGTATACGTGATATGCTGTAGAGATAGCCTTTGTGGCTAATGGTAGAGACAACCTTTATGGCTGATGGTAGAGATAGCCTTGTGGCTAATGGTAGAGATAGCCTTTATGGCTGATGGTAGAGATAGCCTTGTGGCTAATGGTAGAGATAGCCTTTGTGGCTAACGGTAGAGATAGCTTGTATAGCTAATTGATATGTGCCAATGGTAGAAATAGCTTTTATAGTTATTTGATATGTGATATGTGGTAGAAGTAGCTTTTATAGCTAATTGATATGTGCTAATGGTAGAGAGAGCTTTTATAGCTATTTGATATGTGATACGTCGTAGAGTAGCTTTTATAGCTGATTGATATGTGATAACGGTAGAGATAGCTTTTTACAGCTTATACGATATGTGTTATGTAGATTGTG